AAGAGCTGGAGCCCCTCTGCAGCCAGGCTGGAGAGCTGGGGGGGCTCACCTGGACAGGAACAGCTCCAGGGAGAGCTCAGAGCCCCTGGCAGGGCCTGCAGGGGCTCCAGGAGAGCTGCAGAGGGACTGGGGACAAGGCCTGCAGGGACAGCACCCAGGGAATGGCTGCCACTGCTCTGGGAATTCCATGCCAGCCCTGCCCACCCTGCCAGGGAACAATTCCTCATGGCCAAGATCCCACCCAGCCCTGCCCTCTGGCACTGGCAGCCATTCCCTGGGTGCTGTCCCTGCATGCCCTGGAAATTGTCTCTCTCCAGCTTTCCTGGGGCTCCTGCAGGCCCTGCAAGGCCACCCTGAGCTCAGCCCAAAGCTTCTCCTGTGCAGGTGAACAATCCCAAACGTTCCCGGCAGTCCGGGGGTGTGAGGCCGGTTCCAGGGATGGCCCTGCCTGGGAGGGACCTGAGGAGCCTGACTGACACCAGACCCGGGATCCGGCCTGCCTTTTAAATAGCAATTTAATTATTGTGTTCTCGCTGACAGCAGGCTCTTGAGTGTCAAAAGTTTATAAATAAAAAGGTTTTTTTTTTTTTTCCTGCTGAATGAGACCAGGAGATGGCCAATTTCCCGCATGTTTTTAATCCTGCAGAAATCACAGACATCAGCTCTGGTATTTCTGAGGCTTCCCTCTGGGTGACTCCTGTGAAGATGAGAAGCTTTTCCCGTCTCTGATTGAATGGGAAGGCATGCTGAGATTTTGGCAAGGCGCGTGTGTCTCCAGCACTTCCACGGAGCAAGTGTGAACACAAACAAACCCAGCGCTGGAAAAGGGGAGAGCCCCGGGGGAGGAACAGCGCCGGCCCCGCTCGGAGAACTCGAGTTTCCCTCTCGGAGCCCGCAGGTATCAAATGTGTTAATTGGGCAGCTGGAGCTGCACCAGGGCTGGGCTCCACCTGGAAGTCCGAACAGCAAAATACATCTGTACCTGATTGAGACGCAGCCAGGAGGAAATTAATGCAAAGAAAAAAGGAAAAAAAACCCGAGGAGAAGGGGCCAAACCTGACTGCTGGCGTTCCTCTCTCCATGACTGCGCCCTCACCCCCCTGAGCAGCGGGCAGAGCTCCCTGAGCTCCTCTCCTCGCTGGCAGGTGCCGAGCTCCGCGCTCCTGAGGCGCTTGGGGTGCGGCGGCGGCGAGCCCAGGGCAGGATCCCTGGAGATCCCGGCCCGAACTGGGAGCTTCCCGAGGCTCTGGAGCCGCGCAGCCCAGCCTGGAGCCCAGATGGGCGGCAGACAGCGCTGACTTCCCGAGCAGAGCCCAAGCCGCGTTCAGCTGCGGGAGCTGCGGCCGCAGCCCGGCCTCGGTCCCTCGGGTGCCTCGGGTTCCTCCCGGCCGGAGCGGGCGGCTCCAGCGGGGCCGGGGCATCCCTCGGGCAGCGAACCCCATCCAGGAATAACCGCGTGACATTCCAAGCGATTTCCAGCACGAGAGCGGTAGTCTGGTTTTTATTAAGTTATCACTTCATCATGTTCCCTGATTGCCTTCATTCATGCCTTAGTTGTCTACAGACGCTATTAAAAAAAAAAAAAAATACATATTCATAGCGCGGCAAATGGGCTCTGCTCCACATTTTAGTGTCAAAATCAAGTTCGGGTGAAGGGCTCCTCTGGGAACCCTCCGGGGCCGCTTCCCGGGATGCGCCAGCGAGGGGCGGCTGCGGCGCGGAGCCTTCCCGGCTCGGGGAGGGGGAGGTGCGACACTTCATTTGTCATCTCACGGCAGGGACCGTCCCCTCTTCCTCGCACCCCCCTGCACCGGGCTGTCCCGGTCCCGATCCCGATCCCGATCCGGATCCCGATCCCGATCCCGATCCCGATCCGGATCCCGATCCCGATCCCTGTCCCTATCCCGATCCCTGTCCCGATCCCGATCCCGATCCCGATCCCTGTCCCTATCCCGATCCCTGTCCCTATCCCAATCCCGGTCCTGATCCCGATCCCGATCCCGGTCCCGATCCCGATCCCGATCCCGATCCCGATCCCGATCCCGATCCCGATCCCGATCCCGATCTCGATCCCGATCCCGGTCCCGCTCCCGATCCCGATCCCGATCCCGATCCCGATCCCGATCCCGATCTCGATCCCGATCCCGATCCCGGTCCCGATCCCGATCCCGGCCCCGCGGGCTGCGGGCGGGACAGAGCTCGTGTCCAGACGGATGGACAGTGGTCACCAAGGCCATTGCTCCCTTAGGGACTCAGATCCCGAGATTTCTGCTGCGCACTCGGAGAGGGGTTTCCTCTCTGCAGGGGGGAGAGGAAAAAAAAAGAAAAAGAAACGAGGAAAAAAAGAGAAAGAAACAAGAAAAAACGGAAAAGACGAGAAAAGGAAGAAGAAAAGAAACGGGGAAAGGTGGGGGAAGGAAAAGGAGAAAAGATAAAGGAAAAGGAGAAAAGAGAAAGGAAAAGGAGAAAAGGAAGGGGAAGGAAAAGAGGAAAGGGAAGGGGAGGGGGAAGGAAAAAGGAAGGAAAAGGAAAAGGATCCAGCCCGCTGCCCATTTCTCCCTCCCGAGCCCCCAGGGTGATGCCAGAACGGCCTCAGGACGCAGCGGCCCCGAGCTCCGGCTGCCCCCCGGCACCCCCGCCCTCTGTCCATGCCCGCCCTCTGTCCATGCCCGCCCTCTGTCCATCCCTCTGTCCATCCCTCTGTCCATCCCTCTGTCCATCCCTGCCCTCTGTCCATCCCCTCTGTCCATGCCCGCCCTCTGTCCATCCCTCTGTCCATCCCCTCTGTCCATCCCTGCCCTCTGTCCATCCCTCTGTCCATCCCCTCTGTCCATCCTGCTGTCCATCCCTGCCCTCTGTCCATCCCCTCTGTCCATGCCCGCCCTCTGTCCATGCCCGCCCTCTGTCCATCCCGCTGTCCATCCCTCTGTCCATGCCCTCTGTCCATCCCTGCCCTCTGTCCATCCCCTCTGTCCATGCCCGCCCTCTGTCCATGCCCGCCCTCTGTCCATCCCGCTGTCCATCCCTCTGTCCATGCCCTCTGTCCATCCCTGCTCTCTGTCCATCCCTCTGTCCATCCCTGCCCTCTGTCCATCCTTGCCCTCTGTCCATCCTGCTGTCCATCCCCTCTGTCCATCTCTCTGTCCCTCCCTCTGTCCATCCCGCTGTCCCTCCCTCTGTCCATCCCTCTGTCCATCCCTCTCTCCATCCCTCTGTCCATCCCTGTCCTCTGTCCATCCCTCTGTCCATCCCTCTGTCCATCCCTGTCCTCTGTCCATCCCTCTGTCCATCCCTCTGTCCATCCCGCTGTCCCTCCCTCTGTCCATCCCGCTGACCAGGCCATGGCCGGAGGCTGTTCCCCGCCGTTCCCCGCTGTCCCCTCGGGCAGGTGAACCCCAGCTCAGCTCCAGGGCCCCTCTCCAGCCCCCGGGGGCTCCCGGGATGTTCCTGCCGGGGCCGGGGGGGCTGCAGGGCCCTGCTCGCTGCTGCAGCTCCGCCGCTCCCGGGGCAGAGCCTGGCGGACCCACGGGGAATCCGGGACCCCCATCCGTCTGACAGCTTCTTCATGGAGAAGGGAAGGTCCCAGCCTCTAGGAAGGAAAACTGCAGAGCCCTGGCGGACGGCAGACGAGCGCTGCGGCGTTTCCTCGCTGCCCTGGGGGCGATGCCCCCGCCTGCCGCCCCTCCCGGCCCGGCCGGGGCCCGTTCCCCCTCCGCCGGCCGGGCCCTGCCGTGGGCCGGGGGCGGCTCCGGGGCTGAATTCGTTGTGCTCGTTGTCGCTCGGTTTTCTCGGAGCCGCCAGGCGAAGGCAGCGCCCGGCTGCGGCTGCCGCTCCCCACGAAACAAACCAAACTTTGCGCAGCTCCCCTCCCGTCCCGCCCCGCACCTCCGGGGCTCAGCCCCAGCCCCCCCATCCCCGGGGGTCCCCCCTGGCCGCCCCGCGCCCCCGGTGGCCGGGCCGGGCGGCAGCGGGACACACGCCGGGCGGCGGGCCCGGCTGTCGCGGGGACAGATTTTCCTAATTGACCTGTTACGGATCATCCCCGCAACCGTTGGCAAACACATTTCCACGCTTCACTTCTTAACGTTTTAAATACATATTTAACGGATGGTTGAGGCTTGCCGGGCCAGCTGGGAAACACACGGGTGTAAAAATAATACAACAAAGGCAAAGGGGCCGGGGGAGCCGGCGGGGAGGGGGCGGCCGGGGGATTTACCCCAGTGCGAGGAAGCTCCGACCCTGTTGCGCGGAGCTGCCGGGGCGAGGGGACTCGCCGGGAGCCGGGCGAGCGGCGCAGGAAGGCGGGAGGCATTTCCGAAGGTCATTTTTTGTTCGTTTGTTAACGTCTTTTACTCTTTCTTTCTCTCTTTCTCTCCCCTCTCCCGCTCCCTTCTCGCTGAAGGCTTTTTTGGGGCAGATTTAAGCGGCCGCTCCAAGAACTTCTCCAGGTCTCTGCGGGGCCGGAGCCGGGGGGATGCTCGGGGCGATTCGCTCGTGGGGAACGGAGAGGCCGAAATCCCGCTTTTCTCCGCCTCCCTTTGCACCACTTGACGAGGGAATTACGCCCGGGCTCGGGGCAGGAGCGGGCACCGGGCGGGGGAAGCGAGCGCTGCCCGGTGCGTGCCGGCGGACGGGCCGGGCACCGGGGAACACCGACGTGCCGGGGGCTGCTTGGTCCCGTCCCCGTCCGCGTCCCCGTCCCCGTCCCGTCCCGCCCCCCCAACAGCTGTTCCCGGCGCTGTCATTGTTGCGTTTTATTATGGATCTGACAAAAGTCCCTCCCCCCCGCCGCGCCCCCCCCGCCGGGCTCCCCGCGCCGCTCGGGCCGGAGCCCCCCGCCCCACCGAGCCGGAGCGGCCCCGGTGACATCAGCCGTGCCCCCGCCGCCGCCGCGGATTGGCGCAGCCCCCCTCCCTCCCGCCCGGTGACATCGTTCCTCCCCGGCGCGGCTATAAAGCGGCCGCGGCTCCGCCGCAAGGTGCGCGCTGCTGCTGCCGTGCTCGCCCGTCCCGGCGCGCCGCTCGCCACGGTGAGTGCGCCCGTGAATGCCCCCCGCGCCCGCGGCCCCGCGCGGACCCCAGCCCCGGAGCCAGGGGAGGGACGGGACGGGACGGGACGGGACGGGACGGGACGGGACGGGAGCCGCCCCCGGCCAGGGGAGGGCGGGCAGCGGGGCCGGTCCCGGTTCGGCGGAGCGGGGTCGCCGACGGGGCGGGCGCGGGGCCCCGGCGAGCCGCGGCGGGCGCTGACGCGGGGCTCTCTCCCCTCCCCTCCCCGCAGGCTGCCCGGTGCGCGCCGCCGCCCCGCCCGCCGGGCCATGGACTCGGACGCCAGCCTGGTCTCCAGCCGCCCGTCCTCCCCGGAGCCCGATGACCTCTTCCTCACGGCCAGGAATAAAGGCAGCGGCGGGGGCTTCACGGGCGGCACCGTGTCCAGCTCCACGCAGAGCGACTCCCCGCCGGAGCTGAGCGCCGAGCTGCGCAGCGCCATGAGCGCTGCGGGGGTGGTGGTGGTGGACAAGCTGGGCTTCAAGTCCTCCTCGTCGTCCTCGTCGTCGTCGTCCTCCTCCTCCTCCAAGAAGGACAAGAAGCAGATGACGGAGCCGGAGCTGCAGCAGCTGCGGCTGAAGATCAACAGCCGGGAGCGCAAGCGGATGCACGACCTGAACATCGCCATGGACGGGCTGCGGGAGGTGATGCCCTACGCGCACGGCCCGTCGGTGCGCAAGCTCTCCAAGATCGCCACGCTCCTCCTGGCGCGCAACTACATCCTCATGCTCACCAACTCCCTGGAGGAGATGAAGCGCCTGGTCAGCGAGATCTACGGCGGCCACCACGCCGGCTTCCACCCCGCCGCCTGCCCCGGCGGCATGGGCGCGCACTCGGCGCCGCTGCCCGGCCACCCGGGCCACCCGGCCTCGCACCCCGTGCACCACCCCATCCTGCCCCCCGCCGCCGTCTCCAGCGCCTCCCTGCCCGGCTCCGGCCTCTCGGCCGTCAGCTCCATCCGGCCCCCGCACGGGCTCCTCAAGTCGCCCTCGGCCGCCGCCGCCGCCGCCGCCGCCGCCCCGCTGGGCAGCGGCTTCCAGCACTGGGGGGGGATGCCGTGCCCCTGCAGCATGTGCCAGGTGTCGGCCCCGCCGCACCACCACGTCTCCGGCATGGGCACGGCCAGCCTGCCCAGATTAGCCACCGACACCAAATGAGTCCCTCCCGCCGCGCCCCCGGCACCTCCAGGACCTACAGACGCTCCCCCCCCGGCGGCAGCGGGACCGCCCCGCTCCGCTCCCGGGGCCGCCGGAGGGGCGGCGGGAGGGGATGGAGCCGGCTCGGGCTCTGCCCTGCTCCCCGAACGCGGGGGAACCCTCCCGGCACGGTAAACCCCGCGCACCTCCCGTGGTTTTAATTTTCCGACGATGCCGAGGACTCCGCAGGAGGGGAGGGCGGCGGAGCCGGGGCTCGGCGCTACCGGAGGAACCAAAACTGCGGAGGGGCTTGGGCTCGTTTATTCCTTCCTGCGCTCCTGCCCTCCCCTCTCCCGGTCTCGTTTCTACACGCGGAGCCTTCCGAGCCGCCCCCGGCTCGCATGCCCCGGACTGCCCATCCCGGGGGGCTCCGGGAGCGCCGGGTCCTGCCCTGCCCTCCCCGGGGCTGCGCCGGTTCTCGCTCCGGTGCGGGCTTTGTAAATAGACCGATAACGACGCGAGTCCGCTCTGCCTGAGCTTTCCGTCCGTGCACTTGTTCTGTGTCAGCCTCATGAGTGAAATAGGGGTCGGTTCGCCTTGATTTCCTTCGTTTGGGTTCTTGGGGTTTGGTGGGTTGTTTTACTTTTAAGCCTATAACACGTTTGTTTCCGTTTCTTTTTCTTTTACGTTCCTGCCACCTTTAACAAACTTCGAACTCTTTAATGCTCTTTCTGTGTAGGAACTTTCACGCTGTCCGTGTTGCAATACTGAGAACTTGGGCTTGTTTCTGAAATAACAACTTTTCTTATCGCTGTCCCTTGCAGAGATTTTATCATCTGTTTATTTTTGTAAAAAAAACCCAAAAAAACAAACAAAAAAGAAAAAGAAAAAAAAAGTTGCTAAATAATATTTATTACTTGTTTGGTTGCAAAAAAAAAAAAAAAAAAAAAAGGAAAAAAAAGGAAAAAAAAAGAAAAAAAAAGCGATCCACTGTTGAGATTTTAAATAAATAAAAAAATTTTAAAAAAAGAAAAGCATTTAAAATAAATGTCCTTTTTCTCTTCCTCGCTGTTCCAGGGAGGCGGAGACAGACGGGGAAGGGATGGGAATATTTTAGGCGCATCCTTGACTTTCGCGAAGTTTTTTGTCAGTTTGCCTCGCCGGCGAATCGAAACCGTTCGAGGGTTGGGTTTGGGGTTTTTTTGTTGGTTTTTTTTTTTTTTTCCCTTCCTCATTTATTCCATTTAGAATCAGAGCGGTGAGGAAGAACCGACCAGTACCGCGTCGGTAACGTGAAAATTTATGTCTGTCGAATGCAGCGCTTGGCAAAAGCGAAATATTAATTAAATATTAATTCGGGGAGAGGAACCATCCAGCTTGGCGCTGGGGAGTTCGCTCCCTGCGATGGCGTCTGCGCATTTGACCTTCAACTAAAAACCCACCAAACGAAAATCCGCGCAAAAGTGAATTATTTGGGGACAACCCCTCATTTTTTCCCCTCCCGAAGCCGCTCATGTCTGTGGCCCGGGGAGATTTTGGCAGTTCTGGACGCAGGTGTTGGGGCGGGAGATATTCCGGGGAAAGGGCTCCGGGGTTTCTGGGGAAAAGGAGCTCGGGGGGCTCGGGACGGGCTGAGGTTCCCATCTCTCCTGAACCACAAACGGCAGCGCATTGATCTCAATATTTCGGGCTGCACCCGCATAAATACACAATAATTCATCATCCTGACGGCTCGGGGGGAGTTTGGGGAGCGCAGACACCGGCGGGGAAAGAGAGCGGGGCCGGACCCAGGGGATTCCTTGTTTGGTTTGGGTTTTTCCTGCAAACCGAGCGGTCCCGGGTGGCCGAGCCGCGCTCGCTCCCCGCGGGCTGTGGCGGCTCCGGGCGTTCCTGCGGGGCTGGGCCGGCTCCTTCCTTCCTTGCCAGCCCCTCCAGGAGAGCGGCGGGGGCTGCGGAGGAGCGTCCGGCACCCCGGACCGCGACAGCGGTGATGGCCATGCCCAGCCCCTCCAGGAGAGGTGCAGAGGAGCGTCCCGCACCCCGGACCCTGGCAGCGGTGATGGCCATGCCCAGCCCCTCCAGGAGAGGTGCAGAGGAGCGTCCCGCACCCCGGACCCTGGCAGCGGTGATGGCCATGCCCCAGCCCCGCGGAGATTCCCCTTCCCGTAGCCTGGCCAGCACGGCGCTGGCACAGACACAGCCCAGGGGACACATGGCGAGCACGGCGCTGGTGGCCCAGGTGCCTTCCCCTGGTCCGGGGATGTCCCCGGCTTTAGGGGCCGCCCCAGGTGCGGGTTCGGTGCCGCCCTGCGGCTCTCGAGGCACAAGCCCCCCGCCTCTGCCTCCCCCCGCGCGGGAGAAAGCCCGAACAAGGAGCGGGCAGGTGTCCGCCAGCGCCTGGGGACGGTGCCCGGGACGGGAGCCCTGTGCCAGGCTCGCTGCCCGCCAGGGCCGCCCGGGGCCGGGCAGGGGCAGCGGTGCCCGAGGCCGCCGAGCCCAGCGCTGCTCGGGCACGGTGGGGAGCGGCCGTCGGGGACCGAGCCCCCCGGGCCGGTTCGGCTCCCGGAGCCCCTCGGGCCGGTTCGGCTCCCGCATCCCCCGGGCCGGTTCGGCTCCCGGAACCCCTCGGGCCGGTTTGGTTCCGCAGCCCCCGGGCCCGTTCGGCGCTCCCGGAACCCCTCGGGCCGGTTCGGCTCCCGGAACCCCCGGGCCGGTTCGGCTCCCGGAGCCCCGGCAGCGGTGCCAGACCCCCCCGCACCCCCGTCCGCGGGGAGGCCGCGATAAGCAGAGCAGCTTTCCCAATTAGCGGAGCTCCGGCGAGGGAGCGCTGCTGCGGAGGAAGGGCAGGAGCAGGTGAGAATTAGAGGGAGCATCATTAGGAGCTGTTCTTTGTCTCTATTAAAGGCAATAATTAGCACCCTGACAGATGCAAAAGTCGGCAGTGGCCAGAAGCTGGTAAATCCTGCTCGTCTGCCTGCCCGGCTCGCCCCCGGAGGGGCCTGGCCCTGTCGCTAACAGGTGGCCCCGGGGAGCCCCGACGGGCAGGGGGGGACATCGGGGACACGGCTCTGCTGCGGGGCCCTCCGGCCACGCCGCTGCCGAAAGCAGCCAGGGCAGCATCTCCCCCGCCCCAAACGGGCCCTGCCCGCCAGGCCGAGCCCGCGCATCCTCCCCGGGAGCGGGGACACGCGGGGCTGGCACCGGGGCTGGCACCGGGGCTGGCACCGAGCCGTGCCGGGCACTGCCTGTGCTCCCCAAAACCCCCATCACGGGCTACCTGCGATTGAGCTCGGCCGTCCTGCGGCCCCCCCGAGCTCCCCATATGTTCCCCCGGCCCAGGCAGGGCCCCGCGGGCCCGCAGCCGGGTAAGGTTGCAGCGAGGGGCGTCCATCTGCTCCGCGGGGCTCTGCTCTGCCGGGAGCCCCAGGGAGCCGCACGGAGCCCTCCCTCCCTCCATCCTCCTCCGGGCTTTTAGGCGCTCTCGGGTCTATCGCGACCTGTCCCGACAGGAGGAGGAAGGCCCTGCCCGCACATCCTGGCTCCCTCCTCACCCCCTCACTCCTTTCCTTCCTCTTTCCCCGACCTCCTCCCTGCTTTCCCCTTCTCTTTCCCTCCTTCCCCACCTTCCCCTTCTCTCTCTTTTTCCTCTTCTCCTTCTGTTCCCCACCGAGCCCAGGCCCAGAAGGGGAGAGAGGGGCAGGCAGAGCTCACCAGGGGCTGCAGTGACAGCACAGGGAGCAAGGGGCAAAAACCTGAGACAGGGGAAATTCAGGTTCAATATTGGCAATGAGGAATTGTTCCCTGGCAGGGTGGGCAGGCCCTGGCACAGGGTGCCCAGAGCAGCTGGGGCTGCCCCTGCATCCCTGGCAGTGCCCAAGGCCAGGCTGGACACTGGGGACAGTGGGAGGTGTCCCTGCCAGGTCAGGGGTGGCACTGGGTGGGATTTGAGGTCCCTTCCCACCCAAACCATTCCATGATTCAATCAGGACATTTCAGGCAGAGACCAAAAGGCATCCAGGAAACCCAAGAGGAAGGGAATATTGTCCATCTCACTTCAACAGGGGATCTCTTCAGCCTCTGCCTGGAAAATCTTAAGCCAAGGTGACCAAAATCTGCTGCAAATCCCTGACTGAGGCATTGCCCTTCTGCAGGGCAGCAGCTCTGCCTCCTGCCAGTGCAGCCCTGTGGGATGGGATAATGGGATGGGATAATGGGATGGGATGGGATGGGATGGGATGGGATAATGGGATGGGATGGGATAATGGGATGGGATGGGATGGGATAATGGGATGGGATGAGATGGGATGGGATGGGATGGGATGGGATGGGATAATGGGATGGGATGGGATGGGAGCTGCCAGAGCCCCTGCACAAGGCTGCAGGATCGCTCCACTTCCCCTGGGATGAATGTTCAGAGTGAGCACCCACAGCCCCCTCAAGCCCTTCCTAAAACCAATCCTCCACAGGAAGCCGTGGTTCTGTTTTAGCTCCAAGCCTCTGCCCAGGAGCCCCGGGCAGGGTGAGGCTCACAGGTCCCACTCACCTCGGGAGAGCCTCCCCCCGACATTCCAGGGCCCAACTGCCCCTGAGCATCCCTGCAGTGTCCCCAGGGCAGGGCCAGGGCGCTGGGTGGGACAGGGGCCCCATGGCACAGCCCTGGCAGGGACAATGCTGGGCTCCTGTTCCACTGCTCTGTTCTTCCCCCTCCAGAGGGGCCGGGCTGATGTCCTGTGTGCTGTCTGGTGGCTCAGGGGACACTGCTGTGACAGGAGCCAGCAGCCCCAGGCGATGCCAGCAGCTCCTGGAGTGGCAGGGCAGGGTGGGGAGCTGTCCCTGGCTGTGGCTTTTCCATCCCGTGTGGGACAGGGATCTCCAGGGGACTCAGCACTACCCAGATCATCCCAAATGCTCAGGTGCAGCTCAGGGATGGATTTTCCAGAGCTACCATGAGATCCCAGAAGTTTGGGGTGGGGAGGGACCTCGGAGAGCACCCAGGCCTGCCCTGCCCAGGCAGGGTCACTGCAGCAGTGCCACAGGAGCTGCCCAGGGGGTTTGGGATGTCTCCAGAGAGGGAGACTCCAGCCCCTCCCTGGGCAGCTGTTCCAGGGCTCTGCCCCTCCAGGGAAGGAAGTTCTTCCTCAGGCTGGGCTGAAATTGTTGTGTTTTAGTTCCTGGCATTGCTCCTTGTCCTGCCACTGGCACCAACAGCCCCAGGAGCTCCCAGCTCCCTCCAGCCAGCCCTGCAAGCCTGCTTTCCATGGAAGGCTTAGGTGGGAGGGAGGTTTTCCCAAACCTCGCTCCTGAGAGGCCTTTCCCACCTCACAGCCAGGCAGGTGCAGGGTGGGAGCGATCCCTGGGCTCTGCCAACTCTCTGGGCATCACCCAAACTGAATCTGCCACTGCAGGCATTGAATATTTTCATATTTCTGCCCAAAACTGTTAAGGGGAGGCCATGACTGGTGATGGCAGAGGGGCCACGAGGCTCTGCCAGCCCCATCTCTGAAAAAGGGCACAAAGTGCTCCAGTCCTTCTGGGTCAGTGTCAGAACTCCCAAGGTTCATTCATTAGGAAGAGTCCAGCCTTAAATAGTGGATCAACAAGGAACTGCAGCATTACATGGATCAGACACATCTCAAAATCTCTTTCAAGTGAATAAAGTCCAAAATATCTGCTCTGGAAAACACCTGTGGAAATTTGCCCACTGTTTAAACTCGTAGAGATGTGGAGTTTACATCACTGAGCAACACAAAGTGGGAATACCCTGGCCCACACCAGAATAAAAAGGTAAATTATCTTCAGTGCTCAGAACTGAGGAGAATCTTC